TACAGAGTATCCTTTAGCTTCCCCTACAAAACAAGGGAAGCTTCCCAGGTGCTTTGGGACCCTTCATTGAAAGGCATCATGCACAGTATGTTCTGCATGTGTAAAATGACCTAATGATGGAAAGGACGTGACCTCAGTAGTGTGACTGGAGCCAGAGCGCACACCATCAGCCACTTTGCTTTGACCTACTAGCTAAACAGCAAGGATGGGACAGATGTTGAAGCAAGGACTAGCATTTTTGGAATGGCCCAGGAGGTGTGTATCTATCATCTTGCCTGCAGGCAGTTATCCCTACCTTAGCTACTTTGATCAGTGTAAGAGCAGGATCATAAATAGGGCACAGTATAGTTACATGTGAGGCTGCTGAGTTGTATTTGCTTGAGCCTGTCAGCTAGACTGACACAAAGGCAGTTTTATGTATCACAGGCATGGTTTGATTAAGGAGCAATTTAGACATCAGGGAAGCAGCTGGTCCTAACTGACTTAGGAACCGAGCACCTGGCAACCCAATTTTTTATAACTTTTAGTAAAAGTCAGTGCAAAGAGCTGCCTGAGATCCCAAGGTGAAGAAGATGTACCATGGTTGCAAGTTAGGTCTTGTTCTCCTGAGTGATAATGGTTGATGCTTGCCCTGGTAAGAACCTGCCACACATGATCATCTGTTTTAATTTCTTTCATTTGTTTTAATTTTGGAAGCAGATTGCCCTAGGATGTGCTTTTATGCTCCAGTGCAATGCTGCGAAGACTCATAATGGAAGGATAGTATGTCTTCACTCTGCTTAGACCATGAGAAGTTGGCAATTTTACATGTCATCCCTAGTGTGGGTTTTCCCTCCATTTTCTCTGAGGAGTAGCTTGGAGAAATTATGCTGTATCTGGAGAAAAATGAATCTTTTTCTTTTCCAATTCCTAACCTTGCAACCTGCTTTCCTCAAAACCCAGCCAAGGAGGAGGCTATAGATATTTCATGAAGTGTATAAGGAAGTGTAGTAGCTAGGGATCAAGGAAGTTCACTAGTCTCAGAGGGACATGCTGTGCATCAGAGAAGTCCTGAAACATTCATATATTGATGGTGAGGCTTATTTGTTGCATACTGTGCATGTCTGATCACTCCACAGTCTGAGAGTTTTGTAAATCTTTTACAGCTCGAAACGAGCAAGAGGAACAGGAGGAAAAACGGGAGATAAAGAGAAGATTAACACGTAAGGTGAGAAGCAACTTTTATCCTATTACAGCACTACCATAACTTTCTCCCTACTGCACAGTCATTTGCCTTTTTCCTTTCCACAGCATCATTTTTAAAAAGGCAGTTTGAAACAATTCTTAAAGGAAATCTTTAAAAGAAATCAGCTCTGATGTAGAGTGTAAGTACCTGTAAGTGACAGTCCCTGTAAGTGACAGCGAAGGGAAGAACTTCAGGTGCTATTGCCAGTGACATTTTGAAGCTGGGCAAAAAAAAATCAAATTTCTGTAACTGAAAGAACTTTGAACAGTGAAAGACTTGCAGATTTTGCTTTGGTCTAACTCTGCTCCCTGTAAATGTAATGACTTCTAAGATTGCAGGGAGAGCAAAGTCCAAGCAATGCTGATTGATTGCTTTTGAAACTTCCCCTAGAAAGCATTAAGCTGGGAAATAGCCTTTCTCTGGAAGGAGAGATTGTCATTGGAGACATTTAAACTAAATAAACACTTAGAAATGGTTATAGTTCAGAAAATAATCTTTTTAGTTTAGTTTAGATTTGTTTTTTTCCCATTTGAAAATAATCTACTCTTAAAACCAAGAACAGTAATTTCAGCTACACAAGCTCTGTTTCTCCACTGGTGTAAATGTCTATGATAGTCCAACATACATAGCCAGCAAGCTAGTGTGTTATTGTAGCTAAACTTTATTTTGGCACTGACTTACTTCCCGACTACAGAGGTGGAGAAAGTTCCTTATAAACTCAGGCTTGCACCAACCCATTCCTGTACTTTTAAAATCTTTTTCACCTATGTGATTGCAAAGTTTCACGGTATAAATAGCCACAAAGTGCTATAAATAGTATATATAAGCAAAGGAGAGCTTGGATTGTTCTGAATTGTTTTAGATTAGAAATCTCAAACTTTCTTCTGAGCTCATGAGTTAGCAGAGCTCTGCTATCAACTGGGTGGATCTGCTTTTGTCTGCAGGGGCTGAAGTGTGGCTCAAACCGCTATAATGTTATTTTTTAAAACACTTGTATTCCTGACAGCAACAACAAGGATGTTCTCACATCCCCTCATAGCATTGCCTAAAAGAAAAGAGTAGCTAACTGCATTGCAGATGTTTATGGGCCTTGAGCTCTGCATGGAAACTAAAAATACTCTTTTATCAGCCTTTCACTTCCACTGCACATAGAAGGGTAAACACGTGCAGGAGTCCAGTCCAAACATCAGTTCCATCTGATGAACAGCTGTAATGGATAAAGAGCAAAGATACCCAGGCACAGGCTGCTCTCTTGTGGGAAAGGCTCATAGTGCATGAGCTATCCATTGCAGACGGAGGCTTCAGCTATATGATTTCTGTGATTTTTTTTATTAGTCTTGTTCCTGCTTTTAAGTAGGAACAATGGGAAAAAGAGTGTCAGCCCCATCCCCTGGCAATCTGCTCTTTAATGTTCATATCCACGTTCCAGGTCACATTCCTTTGAGTCCTGTCTGGCTTATTTCCAAGCATGGATTTACTCCCACCTCTCCCCAGCATGTTTACGAGCTTAGTAGCAATATGGCTTAGCATTGTTTGATTTTCATTATTTTTTTAAACTGCTGTTAATTTTTGAAGTGACTTCTTGTGCTTTAATGCAAGAATGAGAAATTTTAGTCTTTCCTACCAAACATGCTGTCAGAAAGGTTCAAAGATCACTAGAGGAAAGATGTGAATAAAATGTGTAAGTGGATGTGTAACACCTAGAAATGCTAAGCACCTAGTGAATCCTGAAAAAGCTGCTGTTATTCTCCAGTTTTGCTTTTCATGAATATAGCCCAGATGGGTCTCTGTTTACAGAGGAGCTGCAGGCTCCCTCTGTCCATCTATATTGAAGTCTTCTTGCCAACGGATTTTAAATCTCAGATCAAGAAGTTTAATTAAGCATGTGGAATGTTTTCCCAACAGACCTCTCTCTCTGCAGTCAGTTTTAATGCACACAAATGCCCACAGGTTAAATTCAGCATAAGGAAAGTATGCCAGGTTGCCCTCTTGTAACCGTGTGTGGATGGTGATAAGATGGAAGGGAGTCTTCCAAAGAAGATGGTTTGCTAAAGATGGACTCTGGATATCCAGGCCCCTCATTCCTTCTTCTTGAGGTCCAGCTAGCACCTTCAGAGATAAGGACTACTTCAGTTTGTTAGGAGGGACATGGGAATATGAGGGGACTTCTCCTAACACTGGCCTAAGCCACCCCACAAGCCATTCCCAGAACATGAACATGTGAAGGCCCTCTTGGGGACCTGTTGCATCTTGAGTCCCTCCATGAGGAGTTCTGCATTCCCAGGAAATACAACAAAAAGTGTATCATCTCCTCCTTAGCCTTGGTGAATTTGGCCATATACCAAGGTAATTAAGACAAGTCTAAACTCCCCGTGAAGACTCCCATTCCAGAGATGCATTTGTAGCTCAGATTAATAGTTACAGATTATTTGAAAAGAAGAATAAAGAATAAAGAAGAATAAAATTCTTCTTTTCCTATCTTCTCTCAAATGGCATCATGTTCCCTGTTTCCAGAGCTGTTAACTGCTTCCAATCCCCCAGTGCAAGTAGATACTTTTTCATGAAGGCCATCTCCAAAACTAAAAATCTCATAGCAGTAATGGTGACAACTTCAATGCTGATGTGTGTCTCTTGCTTAAAGGCTATGCATTAAAGTCTGTGAAATCTTTGCTCCTGTTAAATACTTGCCCCAGTAGAACCTAAATTCTCTGTTCGCAAGCTGATGCATAGCTGGGAAATGTCTTGCTGTTCAATCATTCCTTTAATTGACCTCCCTTGGCTTGGATCTGTGCAGGGTGTTTGAAATAATGAACCCTTGAGAGAGGTGTGACTAGTTAGAGGAAGGTGAGAAGAAGAAAAAAAACGAAGGTTAGAATATAGAAAAAGGTTAGCTGCTAATTTGGATAAATTGCATTTCTCTCCAAAGAGGGAAAAGGGCTCAGGGTCATTTTCGTCACATCCCACTCCTTTGTTAGAGCTACACGGAACCAGTCTTGCCAGGGAAGAAGGGGAGCAAAGGAAGGAGAGAGTTGTGCACCCTGCCAGTTAGGACCTGTAATTTCTCACCTTCCCTTGGTCATTAAATGACAACCATAACATTTTAATGAGGTAACAAAGCAGGCAAAAGTGAAGTGACAAGACAAGGAGCTCGTTAGGCTTAAAGAAGGGCATGCTCAGCATTTCAGAGCTGGCTGAATCCCAAAACCAGGCTAGCAAGAGCACGTTCCTCTCCCACATTACCTGTGACAGTGCATTGGCTCACTTTGTTTCCCATGCTGAGAAAATAGAGTTTGGTTTAAAACCTTCTCTTGCAAATTGACTTGGTATGAAAGCTTGAAATGTGCTCTTTTTATATTCAGTGATCCAGAAAATACAGAGGACAGCTTGGCCTCCTGTGATCAGATAACTGTTTCTGCCCTCACTTACGCTGCTTTTATACTAATACAAATCTGTTTATTTCAAAATGGATAATGCCCTGATTTTCACTAAAAAAAAAAAAAAAGTCCTTCTCCCTCAGCTAACAAATCTTCACAAACAGACAAGCTGAAATACATATGCCAAGGTAGGACACCCAGAAAAAGTGGAGATAGGCACAGGTACACTCCTCTTGCACTAACAGAAGTAACCTTTTGTTATGCTTAAAAACATGTCCATACTCATGCCAGATTTTTATAGTGAAATTCTCTTCATATGCTACCTGTTCTTTGAGGAAACTTCTCCCCTAAAGTTCCTCCCTAAAGTACCTCTAAACAATTTCCAAACTCACCAGTATCAATAAAGCCTGACAAAACATGCAGAGAGCCGGCAGGGGCAGCTCAATACCTCAGACCTCTTCCTTTCTGCATGCAGCACGATTGCCTTGCAGGCATTTCATCATGTCCTCTAATGTTTCCCTTTGATGTATGTTCCAACGGTCCCCAATTCCTTCTGTCTGCTGGAAGAAGCAACGCTCGTTTTCACTTGTTGTCTGTGAAGTACTGTGTAGCATTAAATGTTTGGCCCAAGATGCTGCAGCTCTCATGTTACAAAAATAAATTCAAGGTGAGATCTCAGGTGAGCCGTGCCCTTGCCACAAGCAGACACTGAGCCGGTGCTGCTTACAGAGTTTGCTCCTGAAAGCCCTCTCCCCAGCTGCCAAGGTCATGAAGATATAAGGCTGCCCTGCACAGTCCAGCCCCACTGAGAGATGCCAGTACTTAGCAGCTCATGAGGAGGCTCTGCACTAGTCTGAAAAAGAGGCATCTCGGTTTGTTAGCAGGGCAAATAGTGTCGCTTTTACTAATTTAAAAAATGTCCATTAAGCATTATTGTCCTTTGCATTTTATTCATTATAATCAGATAGTCCCTTTGGTTTAATGAAGTGAATATTTTGTGTATATATGTATGTAAATATATGTAGATTTATGGCTGTGCAACAATTACATGGTATAAACTGTGGGTTTGAGGAGTCTCACAGGCTACTAGCATGAGACCCAATACATCATTTGCTGTTCTGCCCTAGGCCTCCTGGGTCACCTTGAGCCAGTGCCCATCTCTGGGACGTGTGTGGGAGGGAGACATCGAGCAGTGCAGTATACGAGGACTTGAAATCACACTGGTTGCATGTTGATCAAGCAAAGGCATGATCTCTAAAAAAAAAAAATAGTACTAGTTACATGATGTCAGAGGAAGAAAAGGATCAGCTTTTAGGCTGTGTCACATTCAGATGTCACCTAAGAATGAAGAATGCACATTGAATCAAAAATTTCACAATGTGCTTATGCCCTTGACATTTTTGTGTGTAATTCCATGTATTCCACACACTGAAGGACTCTACTTGCACAGAAAGGAGTGCAGTGATTTTCAGTGTTGTAAAATATGCTGGCAATACAAATTAATTTTGCTTGTGAATGGGAGAACTCGTCTCAGGTCTCTCAGGTCATCACAGAGCCCTGAACATTTACAGTGTTCTCTGATTCCTACCTGGACCCACAAGAACAGGGAAGGCAAATTACCTACCCAAGACTTCATTGAATTACTAAGCTATATTCATTGCAGTACCACCAGCGCAGTCCCACTCCCGTCAGAAGTCCCACAGCAGGAGCTCTTGGTGCTCTTGCATTCTCAACACTCTCTAGACAACATCCTAGCACAGCAGGATATAGTGGATCAAAAGTCACTGCTACCGTCTCCTTTGGAAAACCTTGCTCATCACTTAGGCTGGCGACACTGCACAAACATGAAAGCCAGCTAAAGTCAAGAGCTGTCAGAAGCTGTGAAATTGAGTCAATCATTTTTTAAAGGTTCTCTTCCCGTTTCCCTTGTAGCCATTTAGAAGCACAGAGTTTAATTAAAAGTATTTCATATTTCATTCATGTCATCATATCCTGGGTAATAGAGTACTTCATTAAAAAAAAGAATTCCCATCCTAATGTGAAATAACATCTAGGCTCTGGCCTAAACCAGTAAAAGCTGAGAAATGTACACATAATTTTGGTGATTCACCCTTAATTCATGCTGTTGTGGAAAAAAAAAAAAAAACTGATACAAATAAGGATAGCGTGTCAACTTTAGCTTTGAAAATCTTGGCTGTACTCCTAATGATTATTATTTCAGTACAAAGACTCTCTCTGTTCCCATAGAAAGGCTTAGACAAAATAAAAATCAGAAGAAAATTTCAGCTATTCTGCCTGAATAATTTTGAATGAAGACTAAAAAATCTTCTAATACTTCTTTCTCTTATTTCTAGAGTTATTAGAAAAACCTAGCACTTCAAAATCACATTTAAGATGACTTGTGCAGCAGAAATAAGCCTTCTGTATAGCGCAACTGTGGTAACACTTGAAACATGCTAAGTTTGTCTCTCACATTTTTTAAAGCCCATCTATTTATTGTAGTGTGTGTTTGGCTTGCAGCTAACTTTTTAGGTGTCATGGATGCAGGTGGAGGAGGCAATTCTGTTCCGATAAAGAATAAAAAGTCATGGTTTTGAATCTACACATTTCAATCTACTTTTTTATACTCTTTCACTTTCTGATACAATATTCTAGCTCAAAGATAGCTATGTCCTAGTGAAAAACAAACGAACAAAAACAGCAACAACAAAAACCTGCATCAATGTATGCATTTTGCTTTCAAAACAATAAAATGGTGACCAAAATGTGTAATTGCAGTTAGGAAAGCCCTGCTTCTTGCAGACCTCCATGTATACTCTTTGACTGATCTGATCATGGCCTTGGCTATATGAAATGGTGCTTTTTTGGGGAAGCTTTTGGAAGAAGTAGTAAGAGGAAAGTTGTAACTGTTACATGACTGACCCATGTGCAAGGTCAAGCTCATCCCATGAAACTTTGTATCTCCCATACAAGAAGGTCAAAGGGAGAAGACTGTCTATAGTCCTAAGAGTTTTCAAGGGTTCTAAGGTGTTGTTTTTCAAACTTTTTTTTTCTCTGTTAAATGCTGCAATTTACCTTGATTGGTGTTGGAGATGACACAAGAACTGCAGAATTGGGACTTGACTGTAGAGTTGTGCTGCTGCTTACGCTTTCTCTCCATGATTTCTCCTTTCTGCATGCGCCCAAGGGCACAGCTGCAGCCCAGAGCAGTGGGAAGTGCTCCCGAACTCTCCCTGTCCTCCCAAATACCTCCTAGAATGGCATTTCTGCACTTGCTTTTCAGATGAGATGCTTGGATCATTTTGTGAGTGAGAGCTCAGGACTTTCTGTAGAAGGAAAGCAGCCCCACTGCAGTCTCTGGTACAACCATGGTTTTTAAAAGAGAAAATAGAGGCAACCATCCATGCCAAGAACAATCACATAGGGATTTAAATCCAGGTGCAGAATAGGGAGGTGGAGCAATATTACACTGGCAAACAAGTGCCATAGAAAGATGGGATTTCAAGGACGCACTTCTCTTTCCTCTGGCCTAGCTAATTTGTCATCCTATGCTTAGCATCCTGGCTGTTTTGTGTCTTAATTCTCCCTGGGAGAGGAAATACAGGGAACCAAGATACTTGATATGCAAGGAAGGTAGAATTTCCCTTCAGGAGCCAAGAGCCTAAATACATTTGCACAAAACAGTCTCAAGCATTTTATGAAATGTTGAGACCTTTCACTATTTGCAGGAGTGGAGTATTGCAAAACACAACACTGACACATTTTGCATATCAACACTTAACACACATTCTGCTTTTTCTAATGAATAGGAATAGCTGGCTGTTTAATTGTTAGTGGGCCAGGATTCTTTTCCCAGGTATGTCAGGATTGTGAATATTCCATTCTACTGGAGGATTTGCACAAACCACATATAGTACAGCACCTTCTTCAGAAACAGTCATGTAATTCCTCTGTAAATCTAGGGAGAAGAGATCCCCGAAACCCAATGTCTGTCATTAGCTATGTAACTGGTGTATGTTAGCTGGACTACTAGCACACAACTGTGTTTCTAATTTGAGAGGAGATTTTTAACTGTGGCTGCCTATTCTGCTAAGGAATTTGGAAGAAATGCTTTCGAACAATGGACATGTTTAATGTCAACAGTGTTGACATGCTACAATCCACCCTTGCCTTTTTTTTTTTTTTTTTGGCTTATAATATGCAATGTAAACTGTTAAAAAGCAAATATACCGTGACATAAAATTGAGCTGCAGCATACAGTGAAAAGTTCAATGAGCAGTAGTCATCATCATGCCTGCCTTTTCTGGAGGTAAGGACAAGTCTGCAGATTATCAGAATGGTAAGAAATGTTTGTTACCCTTTGCATGTAGTTCAGGATAGGGTCTGCCTAGTGCATTTGCTTTATTCTTCCCAGGAAGCTCTAAAACACATTCAGCAACTCAAGATGTGAGGAATACACCCTGCGTAGGCAGCTTTAAGTTGTGTTGAGGTCCACATCTCTTCCTGGGACATCTGTGCACTATGAGACTTACTTGCACTGCATCTAATTTATCAACCACAGCCTGGGATTGGAGTTTCCAAGCACAGTTGCTTCCCAAGCAGTAGTCTGCTGCTCTGGCAGTAAGTTTGGATGATATACGAGGTGCAATGGCAAACAGCAGGTTAACATCCAATTAGCAAGGCTATGGAAGATCATAATACTCAATGGTACAGGGAATGTCTGTGCCCTCATTACTGTTTTGAAGGCTGTGATAAAATAAATCCTCCATCAGAACTTTGTGAGTTAAAAATGAAGATCTGATGCCCTTTCCCCCTCCTTTCTCACACTCGCAGCTGAGTCAAAGGCCCACAGTAGAAGAGCTGCGTGAGAGGAAGATCCTCATCCGCTTCAGTGACTACGTGGAAGTCGCAGACGCACAGGACTATGACAGGAGGGCGGACAAGCCCTGGACACGACTCACAGCCGCTGACAAAGTAAGCAGATTTTGAAGTAGCGCCCAAAATGGCCAAGGCACCTCCATCCCCCTCCAGCCAACTAACTTCTCCGCAGTGTTAAGACAGGAGGGTTCAACCCTCATTCAGAGAGGGACAGGATGGCTCAGAGAGTCATTCCTCACTCAGATTTCCTGTCTCATTCGGCAGAGTATTTTAACCTTTAAAATGAAATCTGTAGATGGAGGCAAGTTGCATCCCTGGTGTCAAGTGCACTGCCATTTGAGCATCATTGGGACCTTCTGTTCTCTCACCAAGTAGCATCTGTGATAAGGACGTTGGTGGCAAACAGGTTAAATCCCTGCCCAATAATAATATAAATCACATCTTCAGGGACTTAATGGTGTCTTAGGAAGAAGGTGAAACCTTACTGATAGTTCAGGCAGGTTCTGCTCTGCCTTCTTTCTAGACTGGGTATCACTTTCTGTATGTGCAAATGTCAAGTGATGTGAACTAATCTGGAAAAAAAGCAAAACTTTTCTGAATTGTCCCCAGAGCATAATACATTGGATTAAATTCCCATTTTACTTCATTGTGTTGGAAAAGATCTTAATTAAGTGACCTAACCAGTCTATCAGTTATATTCTCTGATTTGGTAGATGAGGGAGAAACAAAGTGTTCAATTAGTTCTGTGGTCTTTGAGAGATCCCTCTTTAAAATTAAGGGTATGGAGAGACTTTAGCTGGGAAGATGATACAATATTTTGTGTCCAAAGAGACTCTTTCTCATCCTGAGTCTGTGAAAAGGACAAGTATTAAGTGCCACTATTAAAAGTAGCCTAGTAAAGCATTCAGTGTTAAGGAAAAGTACTTTGATGTTGCCCTGACTTTTTTTTGTAAGACAAATGCAAGGTCAATAAATAAAGCAAAAAGCTTCAAGTTCTCCAGATGAATCTTTTCTCAGAAAAGCAGAAGGATAATAATATTAATGCTCCTTACATGCATAAGGAAGCAGATGTATCCCTTTGCAGGCCAGGGTCATGTGGCAATGTTCTGATTTTTGCTGTTCAGATCACCTGCTTCCTCACATCAGTATGTCCACTGTTAGGAAACATAGTCAAACTAGTATCAATCCTGAAATGCCTGGCAGAGCACCAATGCCCTTTAAAAGATTATTTTCTTCCAAAGCTCTGATTCAATAACTGTCTCCATTGATTAGTACCGACTAGATTTATTACAAAAATTGATTTTAGTAGTGGGTGTTCTGGTTGGTCAGTAAATCTTACTCCGTGTGCTAGATGTAGGGAATTGGGTTCAATCTGACCTCACCTTTACCGAGTTTGCCTGTTAGAGGAGTCAAGAGGGTGCATTAAACCTCGCCGACACACCAGAGGTGAAGGGGGCAATAGATGGCAGGCACTGCGGGAGCCAGCAGCCCGTGCGACCTCCGTCACAGCCACTTAAGCAGCAAATTGCTTTGCTGAAGGTGGGCCCTCGAGTTGCTGCATAACCATCTCTCTGCAGTGATAAATGGAAGCAGAGCCTGAGAGATGTTTCTAAAGTAAATAAAAAGGAACAAAGTTGTATAGGAGGAGTACAAAGGACCTTTTCTATAGCTCACATTCAAAATATACCATGTAGGGCCTGTGAGGAAGTTGGTGACTGGATCAGTGGCTATTACTAAAGTGCTCTTTTGGAGCTGGTGCTCTTAGACTACGTCAGATTTCTTAAATGGAGACAAATTCCTGCCAGACACCAGTGATGCTGACTGGAGCAGGCACTTCTGTGAGTACCAGGAGAGCATTTGGCCACAGCAGCCGCCTTGCTTGGGTTTGCTGTAGGATGCCTGTGAGGCTAACTTGCAAGCTACAAATAGCACAGTACGCCAGAAAATTAAGCTGATACGGGCTTGGGCCAATTCTGTTCAGCACCCTCTCCCGCAGGCAGCTGCTTCCAAGAGCCCCTCTGCAGAGGCCGTGGATATCTGGCTGTCCTACAGGGGCTAAAGACCAGCACCTGGGGAGCCAGATCTTCCTGTGCCATGGCAGTTGAGCTCATTTTAGCTAATTTCACCCTGGAAAATCCACATGAAGGCAGGAGACATCACAAATATGAGACTTTGGTGAGATCTAGACCAAGTTGACTCAGAGTCCAGCTCTGAAAGAGAAGATACCCTTCAAGAATCTCAGTTGCATGTTTTTTCCTCATACATATGCTAATTTGAATTTTGTACATGAAAGTGTTTATGTAATAAGCCAGAATTGAGTTTCCTGTCTGTGTTGTCTACAATGCATTTTCAAATTGATGTATTCCAGTGAAGCATTTATCTCTTCCCGTTATGTGATTTAAAGCATATTTATCTCTTTTCCTTTTCCCATTTTAAAGCCTTTTATATGCTTTTCTCTGCCTCTGATAATGTTATGTAAGATTTCTTCACTTTTAATATACTGTTTGGAGAACAAAATGAACTTACTTTGATCTTGCTCATTTATAAATTTATGAGTTCATTTGTCCTTTGCAGGCAGCCATTCGAAAAGAGCTTAATGAATTTAAAAGCACTGAAATGGAAGTTCATGAATTAAGTAGGCATCTAACAAGGTAAGTTGAGATTAATTTTTAAGACTAGTAATGAATACTGTTGTTTTCCAAAAAATCCCAGGGGCATTTCTCAAACACCCACCGAACACACTGCTGTGTAATTCCAAATATTTGGAATTACAGGCTGTAAATAAAAGCTCACCCAGACAAACTCATACTGCCATTACCTGACTGTTTGCGAGCATGTTCTGTCTCTTCAGCAAAGCGCAAGCTCCTCTTAGTTTGTTCGAACACAAGAAACTCCCCTTCTAGAGCAACTACATAGCAAGGTGTAACTGTACTGCAAACGAAAAGATGCTGAATGTACAGTTATTTCATGCTACATACTTGCTATGCATGGATTACTCAGCCGTGTATTCCAAGTCTTGCCATAGGCAATGCAGGGGTGAAATAGCAAGATCAGCAATAGGAAGAGAGATGCTATTTTATACTCTTAGGCATTTTTGGTTAAAAAGGTTAAGTCTGAATTATTCCAGGCCCAAAACTAACAACTGGCAGCATAAGGTCTGAGTTCACTGGAAGGTCAGGTCACTTCCCCTAGTACAGCGTGTGCTGAGTCTGATCTGGCTTTAAGTCTGAGATGAGCTGAACTCCTGGAATTTTAGCTGAAACCAGACCTCTGCAAATCAACATTAGCTCACTTTCATTGTTATACACTAAAATCAAGTTTTAGGTATTCAAGACAAAAGGGAGGGAGATCTTGTGCAAAACTGGAGTGGCCCTTGCATTTATGCATTCAACAGATACGTACTCATAAAAATGCAGTTAATACTTTTAAGAAAAATACATAAAAGCTTTAGGCAAAATTTAATTTGTATTAGGAGACTTACGTATATAAATTTACGTATATAAATGAGTAATTGCATTAAGTGCATGTGTTATGCATGCATCCCCCTGCAGAAATGATCAGCCTTCTATTTCCTGTCACGTGCTCAGATGCTTTCATTGGAGTTTTTAATAGTGGAGTGCAGCTGGAAACAAGTGAGCTGCCCTTAAGGGATGTGGTTTGGACAAAGCTTTAGGGTGTGCAGTGGGCCTTGATCTGTTGACTCCAGTCATTGGCACCTGAAAGGATATTTGGCTGTCAAAAAGTCTATTCTCCAGTAGGGTAGTATCATTGACTAGCTTAGGAAAGGCCTTGACAGTTTTAAAGGGGTCTTGCTAAAAGGAGTTGAAGTCCTCTGGCTTCCATGAGTCATCCCACAGAAATGAAGTCTGCTTTAGTTTTCAGGGAAGTCTGTCCAGCTGTTTGGCTTTTGCAAGTTGTGGGCAGTATTTTGCTTCTCTTTCACTGTTGGAATGAGCAGGCACTCTCTCAGCTTCACTCAGTGTCTTTGACTCGCTCAGTTGTTGGTGCATATTCAGAACTATGGCCAGTGTAATAGGATATGGAATAAGGGTTTGTCTGAAGTTCAGCAGAACTTACTGGTTAGACAAGTGGCTCAGGCAGGTGGAGGGAGGGGTGGAAATCACATTTAAATAAAATTGAGCAATTCCCTTAAACCCACTTAGATAAATCACCATTATAAAATCATTAGCAAGGTAATGAGTTATTTGTGCCATTGGGTAGTGACATGAGCCAAGCAAAGAAAGTGTTGCTTTACTAGTAGGTTGGGTTAATTACTTCATGATGAAGTGAAAAATCAAAGCTTAAAAAACACTTATGCACTATTGACCCAAGCAGGCCTTGTAACACATGGTGCACACACAGAAAGGTGTCTGTTCTGGGCCCACAGCGCCTGCATAGTTGCTACCCAGGTTTGCCACTGCAGCAATTAGTTTCCTGGTCTTTTTGTATACAAGATATACATGAGGATGTTCTCTCTTTCTTACAGTTTCTGACTTTTTTTTTTCTTTTTTTTGGCTTTCAGGTTTCATAGACCCAGTTTCTGACTCTCTACCTGACTACTCTACCTGACTACTATGCCGTCTTCAAAATATAACTAAAAGGAACCATAAGTGCTGGTATTATTCACTTCCCTGTTACGTACAGTGTAAATCTTCTGAACTGCCTTTTTAAAAAAGAGTAATAAATAAATATAAAAAAGAAGAAGAAAATTGTATTTACATATGTTGGGTACTGCAGCATCATCAGACCTGCTGATTCAAGCTTCAGTAACAGAAAATACCCCTGGTGGGAATCGTGCCAAGACTTGGCATCTATGTATAAGACTTTCCTGGCATGTGGATTTGCCGTACGTGTTCCAGCCTAGCTGGTGGTGCATCCGTTTCATCTTCAGGCATCCCTCATCCTGATGAGCCTCTGTCATCAACTCTGGAGAGCCCTGAGGCGGTGTTCAGGGAATCACTGGCCTGGGTGCAGCGCCTACATCAAACACTTCTCTCAGTCTGCAAGCTCCTTGTGGGCACGGCGGAGGAGCAGAACCACCCTACGGACCAGCCCATCTGTGAACATCATCTCACTGGAAAGGCATTTGCTTTCCCTGGAGAAGGTTACGGCCAGTTCTTAGGCACTGCTTGGCTTCCAAGAAGTAAATGGTATCACCTTAAAAGAGCAGGACTCCTTACTGAAGGCTGCTTCAGTTCTAGCAACTGATTATTTTTCATCTCTTTCCAATGTAGTTTTCTAATGCCAGTTATTAACCCATCAGCAGTACATGGCAGGAATGTTGACAACAAGCAAAACCATCTCTTTGTGGTCACTGCATGGCATTCCCTCAGCTCGTAGTTTGTTTTATGCCCAAGCCTCGTGATTGTATGAGGGCCAATGCGCACCCTGCAGCGAGACAAGCTTGGATTCCCACCCGCTTTGCAGAGGGTACATGACATGAGAAACTGGGGGCTCAGTTAGGGACATTCATCCTCTCTGTATCAGGTGTGTAAAGAATTCATACTTAGGAAAAAAAAAAAAAAGAAAAACACTTCTTCTCAATTCCAGAATTCCAGCATGGAAGATTGTGCTTTCTGGCCTAACAAAAGGAGACTGTTGCACATTGCTATGGTTGGTGAGACTTGACACTGGTATCTACTGCTGAGGCGTAAGGACAGAAATCTGGGGGTGTTGTTTTGATTTTAGTTTATTTTTATTACCATGGTTTAACACACAAACTGACCAAGTAGGACTCAGAGAGCTGGTCACTCTGGGCCTGATTTACCTGCCAACTTAAGTGTGTGCTTAATACTAAGTAAGCATCCAAATAGTCTCACTGCATTCTCAATGCGTCTCACAGACTTAGTTGAAGCTGAACACATATAAGTGCATTTCTGAATTTAGGCCAGGACCTTCCAGAATCAAGTCCTTAACTAGTATAATGCCAGCAAGCTCTAGCAAATGTTTTCTAGGATTTCCTTTCAGCATTTATAAGAAACTATTATGCCATGCTTTGGATCAATGGTCCAAAGCACTGTAGCAACATTACTGTAAGAAGTTCCAGAATTTGACTTCAGGATACCTTTTTTCTTCCATAATAGCTATTTTTCTTTGAAAGTTTTAACAGAGAGGCCAAAGTTTTTTACTATGATATTGTTATTTCTGTTATTATTTTATTATTTTTTCCTTTCTCACTGTCTTCCATGTATCTATCCACTCTTCTGTGCTCCCTCTCTACCTCCACTGATGCTAAAGTTATCCTTCATCAATCACAGGCCAAGGGGCTTCTCAGAGGTGAAAATTTTGTGGCCAGCTTTGCACAGTGCCAAGCGCTCCTGCTTCTTCTCAGGCCTTGGCCTCATCTTCTGGTTGTGGGAGGAAAGGATAAGGACTTAGCACGTGGAGTAGCGAACTGGGCTTGCCCAAAGGGTGTTGGAAGTGAGGCTTGGTGACTCCATGTAGGCTTAGCAGTTCTCAGTACCTTGCAGATTTGCACTCGACTGGAGACAAGCCAAAGTGGTTCCTCCTTGTCCGTGGCCCTCCATGCAACTCTACCAAGTCTCAGCTATTAAGCGGCACTTGGCCATGGTAGAATGGAAGGTGCTGCAAAGGAAAGTGAAAACTAGCTGGGTTCTGATGCCTCCTTTTAAGGCAGTGTGCCTATGAGATGCTACTCTTCTACACCAGGTGATATTTCCAGATAGACATACAAAGTGATCCCTGTATCACCAGCTCACAACTGCTTTACATGTAGGCCCATCAGCAGTGGAAGCCTTCAATGTGAAAAGTTATCAGGTCACTGCAACAATGACAGAGCACTTACTAGCCAGAAATACACTGTTTGGGGGATGATTTCCTCGAAAGCCTGGGCTTGGTGTTTTCAAATTCATTCACATACGCTTGCCCACATGACCAGACTGTGTTTACAGCTTTACAGAGGAAAGCAAAGCTCTTGGTGCCAGGAAAGGGCTCGGTGGTGCAGCTGTGCTGAGCAGCAGCCAGCCCTACATGACAGGGAGCAAGGGACAGAAACCTGATGGAACAAGGAAGCCTTGAGGATTGTGGCTCAAGTGAAGAAGCAGGAGGCAGAAGGAGCAGGCTGCTGTTGTCCCTGGGTCATCTGTACTGATGCTACTGGGGACCCATGGCCAGCGTCGCTTGTCCCTTGTGGGCAGGGACCTTGGAGGTTCCCATGCCCCCCAGCCCATCCAGTGCAGGGCTGAGGTGCCTGATAGCCCAGCCCCATGTGCTAGCCAGAAGGACATCCCCAGCCATGGGTTGGATGGGTCCCAAGGATGGTCTCCACCAGCCGCTTGGTAAGTCGCCAGTCCCTGGCCGCTGGCCACCTCAGGACACATGCCACCTGCCTGGCAGCTGTGTGGCCACCTTTGATTTTATTTATTTATTTTTTAAATGATGTTAACTCCTAACTGTCTGAGCAGATGCCAGGACACAGTGGAAGAAACTGCCATATTTCTCCTGAGCTGCAAGCTTGTCACCAAGAAGGGGGACAAGGGAGGAGAAAGAAGCCATACAAAGTGTTTGATGCTTTGGCAAGCATACCTAGCACTTCAATAGGTTTGGGTATTCTGCAAATTAATCCTTTGGCAAGGCATCCTTTGCAGGTGTAACAAGCCTTCAGTGCCTGGCAATTGCCCTGTGTCCCCAGCTTGCGTGCTCAGCTCCTTTGACATTCATGGGAAGCTGCGAGCAGATTGGAGATCTGCAAGTCTTTTTCGTTTTCATCTATTTTTTGAGCACTGCAGCTTCGCTTCCCAGCTGCGATAGCCATCTCCACCATGGCAATAGCTGGGAGTCCACTGCTGAGTTAAAAAAAAAGATTTCTTCACCCCTCCACACTCCCATCAGCCTGGGCAGTGTGAAGGAAATAAAGACACTGATGGCATTCCTGCTGGAGACACCAGGAAGCAGCCTTGTTCATACTTGGAAGAGACTAATAGCCGTAATAAAGAAGTTGCATTGGGTTTAGAGAATGGGAAACCAGCACACAACAAAAATTGCTATTCCAGTAAGTGACCATCAGGGTTGACGTTGGAGAGGGTAATGTACCAAAGTCAAGGAAGAAAAAAGGTTGTAACCAATATCTACTGAATCTTGATGTGTTCTTCATTCTTAAAATGTGCAAATAATGTGACATTTTTTTTCTTTAGCTTATGGAAAGATGAGGTGGAAATTGACTGGCAAGAAAAAGGAAGTGGAAAAGCAAGCACAGAACTTCTAGTCAAATGTCCTGCTTGATCACAAAAAGCGATGCTAAGGGTAACGTGATGGTGGCAACTCTCTCCCACCTGCAACCTTGCCAGACATGGGTGACAGGGGCCTGGTGACATATTTAGGACTAGCAGGATGTCAGCGCCCTGGCCTTTCCCCATGCTGAGCCCCACTGGTTATGTGCTTGCAGGTCAAAAGGGCTTTGGGCTGTATATTCTCTGGGACAGGGCTCACATTGACATTTGCATAAAGGCAATTTCTAGTGCCTGCACTAGGCCTTATTGGAAGAGAAGAAGGGGAAAAAGAGTATAAGGGCCTTTTTTTTTCTCTCTCTTTTTTTAACCACTTTATGGTTGCTGAAACTGGGTAGTGAGCCCATTACAGGAGCATATTTCAGCCCCAGGCTTACATGTAACTACAGCACTTGTTCATCACCGTGACGAGTCACCAAACTCACTGTTCATTATTTCGACAGTGCCATCTCTACAGTAGAAATACTGTAAACCGTCAGGGTGAAAGCACTTCCACCATGCCCAGCGAAGGCTGGTGCCCGCAGAAAACAGCTGACACGGAGACCTGAAGTCATATGTGAGCAGGGGCTCACAAATGTGCCTGCAAATGAAATCACTTTGTATAAATAGCCTTGGGAGATGACTAGACTAGTAAAAACCAGGCAAGGAAAAGGGGGACCAATGATTTTTTTTTCCAGGTGTTCAGTCTGCTTGAGCTTGGAACAGCTTCTGTAAGCAAAGAGGAGGTGGCGGGCAGGTTACCTGCTTTCCCATGTGTCCCAGGTACTCCAGCACCAGTTGCATTTTCCAGTTGCTATCCAAGTATATGTATATAGGTTGTCTTTCTATAGGAGTGAGTGTGGTGACTGTCAATCATGTGCTCTTCCAGTATTGTAATTTAACAGATTATGGCTGTATGAAAACCCTGTAAATAGCTAGAAAGAAATTAAACTGGATCTCTATGTCCTAGTTTTTGTACATACTGAAACTGCATGGTATTTAAATTATTGTTTGTCTTTGATGTATGCAGTTTCTTAAAAAAAAATCCTTTAAAAAAGAAAAATCATTCCCGTGCCTGTGTATTTTATTACCCTCTGTCCCCATGACTGATGCAATCACAGAAGGTTGCCACTCCTGGGACTCCAGGACCACGGCGGGTGCCTGTGGTGCCCACACCTGAGCTCAGCTCCTTGCCTGTCACCATCCTCCTCTTTTCTGTAGCAGTCACAGTGCGTTGAAGCTGTGCAAGCTGCAGCCTCTGCTTAGTGAGAATGGCAGGCGGGAGGGGAGAAGCTCCCTTTGCAAGAGCGAGCACATTCTTCAAACCATGCAATCCTCAACTATTCTCAGGCAATTTATTGCCCATAATTCATGATGCAAAATTTCTGATGTCCCAGAAACCGTTGGCCCATAGCACCCGGCTGCAATGGGCCAGGGCAAGCAGCCCCCCACACAGAGGAAGTGAAACAGCTGAGCAAATTCTGCTCCTTTTCATTACTAGCATAGTTGAAGGACCTAGAACATGGTCATAACACTGTTAT